CCCCCCCCCACCCCCACCCCCCCACCCACACCCACACCCCCACCCACACCCACACACCCACACCCACACCCACACCCTTTTATCCAAACTCATTAAAGATTGTTCAGTTTTAATTTCATCTAAACATGAAATAGTTATTGGTAAATCCTGTCTATATGTTAATATAATATCATGGCGTAATCGTTCAATTAATGTTTGTTCATCTGTAAAAATATTAACCAGTTTCGAATATGTTTGTTTTTCATATTCCATATTTTGAGGATTTCTTTGCATAACATAAATTGACTGAATTTGAAAAAGATTGTTGAAATACGATAAATATTCAAATAGTTCAATTAAAACAAATATGATTATACGTTCACTTTGAAATCCTTTTATATAATTATAGCAAGTTTCAAATGAATCATATTTCTCTAAGTAATCAACAAAATGTACTAATTCATTTGGGAAATTATTATCCGAAGAAAACCAAACCACTCTGAAATCATCATGATTTTGTATTTCATCTAATTTTGTTAATGATAATTTGCATTGAGTCATGTTAATTCAAAAAGAATGTTTTTTTTTCTTAAAATACAAAATTTATATTCAATAAGAAAAACAATAAACTAAGATTCTCATAGGCTTAAATTTAGAAAGAAGAAAACATATTTTACCTTTCAGCTATTCATACTGACATAGAGTGCCGATAGAAACAGTTTCTGCGATCCCAATATCTTCTAACTCCTTTAGAATACGTTGCCCACTAGTATATCGTCTATTGGCATTATTAATCTACAATATACGGTAAAGTGATGCATCGATCTAGAGATGGCACGGCAGGTAAAAGGTTAGATTGACCGATAAAATTTTCCGACTGAATTCATTTTTCGATCAGAAGAGGTCGGTTTTGCGGAGGAATAGTTTGTCATAAAATTTTATCGAAGGTTTTTGAAGACAAAAAATCTGAATCTATAAATCTTTCCTCGAAATATTCCAGTTTCATTATTTCTGGCAAACTACACTTGGATTCAGATCTTTCTATTCAGAAAACCCTTCCATCAAACTGCTCTGATAATAAATAAGGACAGCGCTGTCATTACCAAGTAAATCGCAATGATAAATGACCTCTTTTAGTGGTGAGCATGATGCACTTTTTCTTCACGCTTGATACAGTATTGATAGCTTCCTACACAAAAGTCCAATCTGACGTAGAGTATTCTCATTCACATGTTCCAATTTCAAATAAATACCCATTAACTGCATGCTAGCTATTAGCGAAGTTGGATAAACTTTTTTGTATAATAATGCAGTAGATATGCTATTGGGCTTGTCGATTATTCAAGATGATTATTTAAAGTCACTTCATAACTTAGTGATATAAAGGTTCGAGCAACATGATTATCAATCATATCGATCTAGACTCCATCTGAAAAACTATTTATTTATTTAGAAATTTTCACTTTAGGTAATTGTATAAACGACGAGAGACCAAAGAAGTTTATCATCATTTACTATTTGTGCATTTTGAGGTTACGACAATTGTGTCTCTATTTTTGACTTTAAAATAAAATCCTAATGTCGTTTCCTCTTTGGAATCGAAGTGAAAAGGATTTTCTCCGTTCTATTGATGAATTTCACCAATCAAATACTATTTGTTCTTATGCAGAGAAGATATCGATCTAGTCTGTATATTAATCTAAGATATTATCTTGCTGTTCGTCAAGTAGAACAAAAATGATCATAAGCGTATTTTGAAAAAGTTCAAGCGATAAAACAGTATGATATTGAAGGATCTTTACAATTCTCTATGATTAATATCTTTAACTGAATATCTACACTTACTCAACAAAGTACTTCGAAGATTTAACACTTTGTCTAAGGAAAAATATTTCCAGTAACTCCAACAATATCAAGAAAAGTTGCACAATAATAAGAGAAAACGAATAATTTTTCTATACACAAAAAAAGATACAGTTTACTTGTCAATAACAATAGTCGAATCGTTAGCCAAACTCTATTAGCTAGAACAAAGCAAAATCAGCATCGACATTCAAACACTTATTGTGTTCATTAAAACGGAAGCAATCGTCGATATTAAATCATATACGCGTCGTATATGTTATAGTAGTAAAACTAACCAACTGTGTATCCTTACTTTTTGCTAGATGATGACAGATATTTTCATTCTGTTCTGTTGTTTCAACTTCAATAGATAGCGATAAAAGAGAGAAAGAGTAAAATAATGATAGTGGTAATCAACTGGGCCAGTTTTTTCCAACTTTGCACGGAAGTTTTATCTTAATCTTATTTGACTCTCGAAGCATTAGTTAAAGCCATAAATTTTCTTTTTATTATTTTTTTCAACTTGAGAGTGTGGAGTATGATTGTTTAATGGTCTCTTTATCAGCAAGATTTTTTCAAGTAGAATTGCAACTTGTGCTGGAGATTCAGCAGTTATTCGCACAAATATTTTTCCGTGAAAAACTTTGGGTGTGGGGTGTGGGTGGGTGCGAGTGTGGTCTTGAATGTAGAAGAAATCAACACTGACATCCTTTACATTTCCTGTTTATTCGGCAGACCTTGAAAAGCTTTATCGGCACAGAAAATTTGACGATGGTATCAGGAGCGATATTCAAGATTGTATGGACCATACTATCCCAACGATGGGCTTTCCTGTATAACCCGAACAGCGTGGTCCACGGGGAATTTTCGAGCTTAGCATTTTTTCCTTCACATTTTGTGTGCATCTTGATGATCTTGAAAACCTCTATCGGTACAGAAAAAATGATGATGGTATCAGGAGCGATACTCAAGACCCTACGGACCATACTATCGCAACAATGGGTTTTCCTGTGGAATCCAAACAGTGTGGTCCTTGTAATCGATGTGAAGCTAACACGACGGATTTAGGTGATCTGCAAATCATCAACTATAGGACCTATACAGATAGGACTGGCATGAGGATGCTGAGAAGGACATGTCCAACACCCTTTTGCAGGTCCTATGTCTGTGAATTGCAAGCTTCAAGATTCAGAGATCATCTAAATCCATCGTGCTAGCTTCACACCAAGGTCCTTGCAAATTTTCGAGCGCAGCATAGTTTCCTTTACATTTTGTGATCATTTTATAGCTCTTGAAAAGCTCTATCTTTCCTGATAACATGAGTTTGATTCAGTAAACTGACGCGGTTAACCTGTGAGAGAGATTGCGAAATTGATGATGCTTCAACGCTAATTGGAAAGGTCGAGGAGATATCTCTAAAGATGGTCTGAAAGAGATGCAAATGCTTTATCCTTACTTAAAGGAAGATGAAATCCAATTTTATAAAGTGTTCCGAGATGATGTTTATTTAGTGCCGTTTTACGTGCTAACCGCCCCCCGTCCTTTTGAGAGAGTTTGAAGGATTCCTCATCGACAGAAATTAACCATATTTCTCTGCAGTTCTTGGTCTTAAGTTTTAGGTGTTTCCAACAATTTTCAAGTTAACTTTTCTTTTTGGTTTTATTGATCATATTGATTAGAGTTAAATTACAGAATTCCAAGGAAATCGGATTAATCAGATTGACGGAGTTATATTAAATGATTATCATCAGTCAAATAAGTTTTTGCCGAGGTTATATTTTTCATTTATTTGACTCCATACTGAACTTTTGTACTCGACTATTCTCCAAATCAACGACGTAGAGAGTGCCGTATTGATCGAATGACAAACCGAAAGGTCCATCGAGTTGGTTTGATTGTCTTCCTTCGCTTTTCCACCAATAACGACGCATCCCTGTGTGGCTCCTTTGGGCCAACGTATGATTCGATCATTTCCTGCATCAGCGACATAGACGGTGCCCAACTGGTCCACTACGACTCCTCGAGGAAATGACAATTGCATAAGACCATTTCCTTTTCCATGACCACCAGCCACGACAACGCCTTCTTTGGCACCTTCTAACCATTTCATCACACGATGATTTCCTAAATCAGATACATAAACTGAGTGATCTCGATCGACGAATATGTATTGTGGATCAGAGAATTGATCGAAACGGTTTCCATTTCCATTGCCACCTGCAACCACTGTTCCTTGAGATTCTCCTCCTCTATATCGTTTCACTTCATCATTTTCATTGTCAACGATATAGAGAGAGCCATTCTCATCCATTGTCAAGCCCACACAATGTATGTTCGAGATAATTGTTTCTGTATTTGTCCCATTTTGAAGTGGCCATCGAACTACTCTTTTATTTGAATAATCGGAAATGATGAAGCTATCTGTGTTTTTGTCGACAATGACGTCTCTTGGACCAGACAATTGATAAGCCGCACTTCCTGGTCCATTTCCACCAGCAACTATTTGGCCAATTGTTGCACCTGATTTCCATTCTACAATACGGTGATTCGAGCTATCAGCAATATATACAGTTTGACCTTTATCAACATATAAACCCAATGGATCACAAAGTTGATTTAGTCCATTACCACGCCCATTTCCTCCTGCTATAGTGAGACCATTCTGTTGCCATCGAGCATTTAGATGAATGTCAACGAAATTTCCACGTGATGGAAGAACTAAAATAGAGAGAAACAGAAGTAAAAAATGATAAGATGAGAGTGAAATAAGAGAGAAAGAGAGCGTAAGACAAGAAGAAATGAAAAGTTCACTAGAATTTTCGAAAACCCAACATCGTTCCGGTTTTCAACGTGTCTCGAATTTTTTCTTCATGGAAACTAGATTTGCAAGATGAGAGATCTTTTGGCCGTTTATCCTAGAATGCGTTCAGAATCAATAATAGAGTCATTGTGAGTCATTTTTTTATCGTTATTTTATTGTTTCAGAAATTGAATGATTCTTATAAATGTAAACATGTCCTATGTTTTTAGATAATAATATGCATGAAAGCAGGTGAAAAAAAGCACAAAGATTATTGTGATCGTATTTTAACTTTATCTGGACTTTTCACCTTGTATTAACAACGTTTTTAAAAATATTTTTATTTTTCGGGGCTCTCAAATGCATCTTAGCTTATTATAAAAAATAGTATGTTTTTTTGTTTTTATGGCAGCAGTTAATCCCAGTCAAGTAGCATACTAATCAGCTTGTTTTTCACGAATTTCGAACGATTGAGTTTCATTATGCAAGATATACTTTCTCTCGCCCTCATTTTACCTTCGATCTAAAACAGTGAAGAAATTTGTTAATACTGTTCCATCGTTGAACTAAAGATGGTTTTTCATAAAACATAAAAAATGAGTAGTATATGCACTCCATTCATCATTTTATCAGCAATTATTTCGATCATTTTTGTTTAAATAAAGTTCTACAAAATCATCTGTTTTATGAGTTCATTTTTAGTCTATGAATGACTTTGAACAACTACAAGATTTAATTGAAGTATAGGGCTTTTTATTTTTCTTCTCCATACATTCAAAAAGACTGATATCGATCTTCTGTTCTACCGTAAATTACTATCCATAAATCATAGATTTTGTCTTTTTTATCATAGTGATGAATATGCATATAGGAGCGTATTTAACAAATTCAAACGTTGAATAATCATTTCAGAATTATCGAAACTCGGCTGTAAAGTAAGAGATCAGATATAAATAAATCATACCAAATTTTCTTTTACCGAAAACAAGCTTACCTACTGAAATCCATGTCACTATGATTGAGAAAAAACGAAAGTTTTCTTTGTCAACAGATGTCTAGCATACAAGCTGCTAAAGAGACTCGAGAATGAAATAACACGTCTATCCTTTCCACTCTCTCTTTTTTTTCATATATCAATATGCGTCTACGAAAAGATAAAATATAAACAAATATATTGACAACTGAGCATTTTATAGCAGCATGACTAAATGTATTATTCAGTCATATAAGCCTCATCTCGGGGTATAGATTTAGGATCGTGTTGTTGTAAATGGAGTGAATAGCTACAATCACGCCTTCACTCTTAAATGCATCACCTCTTCTACAAGTAGATCTCGTTACTTTATTCTTTATTTACTTATACAGAACATTTGTTTTTATGGCAGCAGTTAATCCCAGTCAAGTAGCATACTAATCAGCTTGTTTTTCACGAATTTCGAACGATT